AACATTTCACGTTCACAACTTTGAAAAACTGCCAGGGAGCACCTCTGATGAAACTGACCCCACATGGGGCCGGTCTACCAGGTGGTCCTCTGCAGGCCACCTGAATGATATACAGGAGCCCTAATGACAACTGGACCACAAGAAGGACCGTGGCTGACTGGTAACAAGATATCTTTCCCCTTCATCAGTGACATCCATCTCAATCCAGGCACTAAGGACACAAGGTGACAGTGAGACAACAAAAGGTCAAGGGCAGGCAAAAGGAGGTCAGACAGGGATCCAAAGGTGATGGAGACGTTGACAGAGGAAGGTACAAAGATGGTGGGGAAGAGTGGGGTCCCCGGTCCCCATCCAGGGTAGATGGCGAAAGGGGGCCACAGATGTTGAGCAGGGTCCTCACCAGGGACTGTTAGCAGGAGGCTGCAGACAACACTCACCCACCATCATCATCCTCTGCTACGGTGAGGGAAAGGTGGGGTTGGGAAGGGAAACCACCCCACCATGTGCATCCTGAGGACAAGCCTAAGGGCAGTGAGCCATGGAGTAGGGAACAAAACTCAAGTGCAAAGATGTCCCTGGTGAAAGAGGGACCAGATGTCAACCTGGTGCTCCAAGTTGTGAATGCAACATACTGGCATGAAACATACTGGCATGATGCAGGAAACGAGTAGAAGTCTGAGGGGCCGCCCCAAACCCAAAAATGTTGACAGCCGTCCCTCCCACCAGAAAATTTTACTTCAAAGGACAGCACCAAAGCTACACCTCAGGGAAAAGGAAATGTCTGATCAGAGCACACAGGAACAAATGAAGGGGGAGGAAGAGAGAGTAGAGCAACCCTGGCCCACCAAGCCTTGAGGATGATATCCCTCCTCAGGGCAGCCAATGCAGAGAGAGGACCATATGGTCAGCCCCACTACGACACATGATATCCCTCACTGACCCATAACCCTACAGGGGACAACACTGGAGACACAGTGTGGGAATTGCACCCGATCTGACCCCACCACACCAAGGCAAAACACTAAGGGTGAGCAACAGAACAGCAAGGGGAGCAGAGCAATGAAGTCCCCAGGGAATACCAAAAGAGACTTTGGGTCAGGGTGTGGCACCCATTAGACTCCACGGGAAAGCATTCCTAACTG